CAAACTACACTACAAGGCCACAGTAACCAAAACAGCATGGTACTGTTACCAAAGCAGATATATAGACCAATGGAACAGAACAGAGGCCTCAGAAATAACACCATACATCTACAACCATCTGATTTTTGACAAACCTGACAAAAACAAGCAATGGGGAAAAGATTCCCTATTTAATATATGGTGTTGGGAAAACTGGCTAGCCATATGCAGAAAACTCAAACTGGACCCCTTCCTTACACCTTTTACAAAAATTAACTTGAGATGGACTAAAGACTTAAATATAAGACCTAAGACCATAAAAACCCTAGAAGAAAGCCTAGGCAATACCATTAAGGACACAGGTATGGGCAAAGACTTCATGACTAATACACCGAAAGCAATAGCAACAGAAGCCAAAACTGATCAATGGGATCTAATTAAACTAAAGACCTTCTGTACAGCAAAAGAAACCATCACCAGAGTGAAGAGGGAGAAAATGTTTACAATCTATCCATCTGACCAAGGGCTAAAATCCAGAGTCTACAAAAAATTTAAACAAATTTACAAGAAAAAAAAAACCCATCAAAAAGTGGGCAAAGAATATGAACAGACACTTTTCAAAAGAAGACATTTACGCGGCCAAACATGAAAAAAAAAGCTCATCATCACTGGTCGTTAGAGAAATGCAAATCAAAACCACAAGGAGATACCATCTCATGCCAGTTAGGAGGTGATCATTAAAAAGTCAGGAAATGGCCAGGTGCGGTGGCTCACACCTGTAATCTCAGCATTTTCGGAGGCCAAGGCAGGCAGATTACCAGAGGTCAGGAGTTCAAGACCAGCCTGGCCAACATGGTGAAACTTCATCTCTACTAAAAATACAAAAATTAGCCTGGCGTCACGGTGCATGCCTGTAATCCTAGCTACTCGGGAGACTGAGATGGGAGAATTGCTTGAACCCAGAAGGCAGAAGTTGTAGTGAACCAAGATCGCACCTCTGCATCCCAGCCTGGGTGACAAAGCGAGACTTCATCTCAAAAAAAAAAAAAAAAAAAAAAGTGAAGAAACAACAGATTCTGGAGAGGATGTAGAGAAGTAGGAATGCTTTTACACTGTGAGAGTGTAAATTAGTTCAACCATTGTGGAAGGCAGTGTGGCAATTCCTCAAAGATCTAGAACCAGAAATACCATTTGACCCAGCAAGCCCATTACTGGGTATATACCCAAAGGATTATAAATCATTCTACTATAAAGACACATGCACATGTATATTTATTGCAGCACTGTTCACAATAGCAAAGACTTGGAACCAACCCAAATGCCCATCAATGATAGATTGGATAAAGAAAATATGGCACATATACATCATGGAATACTATGCAGCCATAAACCAGGATAAGTTCATGTCCTTCACAGGGACATGAATGAAGCCAGAAACCATCATTCTCAGCAAACTAACACAGGAACAGAAAACCAAACACCTCATGGTTCTCACTCATAAGTGGGAGTTGAACAATGAGAACACATGGACACAGACAGAAGAACATCACACATCAGGGTCTGTTGGGGGCCAGGGGGCTGGGGGAGGAATAGCATTAGGAGAAATACCTAATGTAGATGACAGGTTGATGGGTGCAGCAAACTACCATGACACATGTATAACGATGTAAAAACCTGCATGTTCTGTACATGTAACCCAGAACTTAAAGTATAATAATAATTTTTAAAAAGCACCAGCTGGGTGTAGTGGCTCATGCCTGTAATCCCAGCACACTAGGAAGCTGAGGCATAAGAACTGCTCGAGTCCAGGACTTTGAGAGCAGCCTGGGAAACTTAAGGAGAGCCCATCTCTACAAAAAATGAAAAAATTAGCTGGGCATGATGGCACGTGCCTATTGCTCCAGCTACCTGTGAGGCTGAGAAGGGAGGGTCACCGGGCCCCAGGAGGTTGAGGCTGCAGTGAACTGTGATCATACCACTGTGTTCCAGTTGTTTCTACAACTTTCTAGGGGTTGTAGAAAGTGAATAGAGGTATAGATGAAACAAGACTGGTCATGAATTGCTAATTGTTGAAGCCAGATGATGGGTACATGGTGGGTTATGACTTTACTCTTTTTCCTTTTGTATATATTTGATTTTTTTATTATAAAAAAGACTCCATCAAGAGAGTGACAAGCCATACAGTGGAAAAAAAGATACATATAACACAGATAACTGACAAAGGACTTCTATAAAGAATATATAGCCCTTGTGCATTATTGGTGGGAGTACAAAATGGTACAGCCACTGTGAAAAACAGTATGGTTGTTCCTCAAAAACTTAAAAATGGAATTACCATATAATCCAGCAATTCCACTTCTGGATATATACCCAAAAGAATTAAAAGAATGGTCTCAAAGAGATATCTGTGTAACCATTGATAGAAGCATTATTCATAATAGATAAAACATGGAAGCAACCCAAGTGTCCATCAGTGGATGAGTGAACAAGTACAATGTAGTATATACATACAATGGGATATTATTCAGCCTTAAGAAAGGAAAGAAATCCTGCAATAAACTATTATATGGGTGAATCTTGAGGACACTGTGCTAAGTGACATAAGCCAATCACAAAAAGACAAGTACTGTATAATTCCACTCCCATGAGGTAATTAGTCAAATTCATAGGGACAGAAGGTAGAATGGTAGTTGCTGGGAGATAGGTAGAAGGGAAAATAAGGAGTTACTATTGAATGAGGATAGAGTTTTAGTTTTTTTGTTTGTTTGTTTGTTTTTGAGACAAGAGTTTCACTCCATCACCAGGTGCCAGGCTGGAGTGCAGTGGAACAATCTCGGCTCACTGCAACCTCTGTCTCCTGGGTTTAAGCAATTCTCCTGCCTCAGCCTCCTGAGTAGCTGGGACTACAGACGTGCACCACCACACCCAGCTAATTTTTGTATTTTTAGTAGAGATGGGGTTCCACCATGTTGGCCAGGATGGTCTCGATCTCTTGGCCTCGTGATCCGCCCACCTCGGCCTCCCAAAGTGCTGGGATTACAGGTGTGAGCCACCACACCCTCTGAGTTTTGGTTTTATAAGGTCAAAAGATTTATGGAGATGGGTGGTGGTGATGGTTGGTCATGGTTACACACATTATAAATATGTTTAGAACCACTAAGCTGTATTCTTAAAAATGGTTAGGACAGTAAATTTTATATTATGAGTACTTTACCACAAAAAAATAAATTGAGAAAAAAGAAGTAGTTAAAAAAAAAAAAGATACAAATAACTGATAAAGACCAGAAAGGGGTGTGGCGGCTTATGCCTGTAATGCCAGCACTTTGGGAGGCCAAGGTAGGCAGAACACTTGAGTCTAAAAGTTCAAGACCAGCTTGAGCAACATGGCAAAACCCTGTCTCTTCTGAACATACAAAAAATTAGCTGGACATGGTGGTGTGCATCTATAGTCCCAGTTATTCATGGGGCTGATTGAGTCCAGAAGGCCGATGTTGCAGTGAGCTGACTGTGCCACTGCATTCCAGCCTGGGTGACAGAGACCTGTCTTCAAACAAACAAACAAACAAAGCCAACTCTCCCCCATCCCCCCCAAAAAAAACCCATAAGGATAGGGAAGACAAACACCCACACACACAGACACAGAGGAGACCTGAATAAGCACTTTCTATGTCACAAAAGTATCAGGTAAATACAAATTACAAACTGACAATGTTATGTATTGGTGAGACTGTAAAGTATTAAGAATATCAAAGATTGCTAGTGCAAATAAAAATTAGTACAATAGTTTTGGGAAAAAGTCTGGCATTATCTACCAAAGTTGTGATACACATAACTTGTTGCTCAGCAATTCCATTTCTAGGTGGAGTATAGACCAAAAAAAAAAAAAAATTTGTATACATATGCATGAGGAGACATGAAAATGCTCAGAAACAGTTATTATAATGGCCCCAAAATGGAAAAAATACAAAAGTCAATCAACTGTAGAATGAATAAATGGCAATATATTCATAAAAGTGAATGCCTATTAAAAATTAATTTTAGCTATGTAAATATACTGTTGGATGAACAAACATACACCCCGAAGCATACTATAGGATTCTATTAATATTCAGCTCAAAAATAGAAAATTAAAGTATTATGTTAGAGCATAAAATAGTGGTTACCTTTTGAAAGAAGGGAGTTGGCAGTGATTTGTAGGGTACCCAAAGGGAGTGATTTGGAATATGAAAACGTTAATCTGGGTGATGGTTACATAGATGTTTGCTTTGTGATGATTCATTGAGCTACATATTTATGTTTTATAAACTTTCAACATTGAGATGTCAACCACCACTTGCAGAGGTCTGGCCTACAGACCCTAACTCAATGACAGATGAATAAATGCACTGTCACACCTGGTTCAGTGATTCAAGTGGGCTAGGGATGGTCATTGGCTGCTTTCAGAGGGTGAAATGCAACCAATCAACCAACACCCCCGTCCATCCACACATTTATTCAGTAATAGATTTCATAACAGAGGTTCTAAGTCAACATGCTTGTGAATAATTAACATGGTAAAAGAGTGGTTTTACAAATGATAAAAGCTTTAGGTTCCCAGCCCAGAGTAAAAACTATTAATGGGTAATTCCCCTTTGATCTCCCCCTGAGAGGACCGTCCAGCACAAAGTTTACATGAGTAAATAGTTACAGTAGAGACAAAGGGATGTGGGGTAAACAGATTTAAAATGGGAAAGCCTTTTATCATCCCTATCTTTTCCCTAACATAATGGACCGGCCATCTTCAGCCTGTCCCAATAAAACCTTTCGGCCTTCCAAAAGGTTTGAGACTAATCTATAACTTTCCCTAATATTTTGCTAATATTTTGCCAGCCACCCTGAGTGAATCCCAAGATAACATATGTGTAACACTTTAATAAAAATAGTTTTAAAAAGAAATAAATATTATGAGCACACTGAACCTATAAAGTAATCACATTTTAAGGAAAAATACAGGCTGCTATATCAATAAATAATGTTCTTACCTCTTTCGGATTAATATATTTCATTATTTGATGTGGTTCTCCTTGTCTTCTTAAATCAATTAGACTTTTAAAGTGTTGAAATATAGAAGCATTCTAAAGGTTCAAACATAAGATTTTATGATCAAAACTGGATTTTCTATTTCTATTTAGCATTTTGCCTAATTAGGGCAAAATGAATAAAATACCATAAAACAGATGTTATGTATGCACACTAGATTTTAGAAATATTATGCACTCAGGGTGTGCTTTGATAAGCCTAATAATATTCGTATAATTCTCACGAAGAGTTTTACTCTTAAATTTGTAATTGCATCACTACCAACTATAAATGTAATATCCCAAACTTTGGTAAAGTTACTTCAGTATACTCTCCAGAGTAATCTAGAAGAAAAACAAAATACAGACTACTGATTAAGAACACTGATTATGGTATACTATCATCTGGGTTCAGCTGTTAGTATTTACCAGCTGTGACTCTCCACAAGTTGCTTAACTCTTTTTACTCAGTTTCCTCAACTATAAAGTGGGAATGACAGTAGCCATCTCATACAGCTTTGGTGAGGAATAAATGAATTAATACTTATAGAGCACTTAAAAGTTTCTGACACAGGAAAACACTCAATAAATATTAGCCATTGTTACCACTGCAGAATCCTCTTTATTTCTACAGAAATTCCACTGATTTATTATCGGATTCTGTAATGATAACAATGATTAATATTTATGGAGTATTTACCTATTTTTCACATTAGGGCAAGTTTAGCTAAACAATCACAACCAATTAGTCTATCTCGGAAAATTACTTCTTTGGTAACCCTACCCTCAGACCCTATCTCCCTAAAAATGCTTTAACAACTCTTGGTAAACACCCCACTCCCAGTTTGCATATGTTAAATCAAATAAAATAAATTCAAATTGAAGTAATCCATAGTACCAGCATAACAATCTAAAGCCCCACTACAATTGCCTATGGAAGACGATGCAGCCCATGACTATACTACTGGTATTCTTCCCGAAAAGAAGATATAATTTTCCCCAAATTAAACCCCAAATTGAGTATCAAGCAATATTTATAATGGTTAAAAATCTGAATACTATCTTCTAAACAGATGGTCACTATATCAGTTGTCTACTAATACATAACAAACCACCCTAAAACTTAGTGGCTTAGAGCAACAACCATTTATTATTTCTCTCTTTCTGTGGGTTGACAGGGGAGTTCTGCTGGTCTTGGTTGGACTCATACACTGGCTGTAGTCAGCTGCCAGATCAGCCGGAGTTGGATGATTTAATATGGCCTCACACACACATCTGGGTCTTCAGCTGGAATTCTTGGACAATCTAGGATGGCTGGGCCTCTCTTTCCCACACAGACCTTCAGTGTGAGCTTCTTCATAGTATGGAGGTTTTAAAATACCAAAGAGAGGCTGGGTGCAATGGCTCACACCTGTAATCCCAGCACTTTGGGAGGCCAAGGCATTAAAAAAAAAAAACAGTACCAAAGACAGAGAGAAAGTAGAAGTTACAAGGCTTTTTAAGGCCCTATCTTGGAAGTCACAGCAACATTTATTCTGCATTCCATTGGTCAAACTCAAGTCCTAACAGGCCTCTAGGGGTTAAGTAAATGGTGTGATACACAGGAAATTCCATATATATTACAGCCTCAATTGACCCTGCACTACAGAGGGGAAGGGAAATTTTTCCACCAGGATAGAACCTCAAGTAGTATACCTGGTTGTATATTGTGCCTGGAAGAAAAGATGGCCAGAAGTACAGATCTATAGATGGATGATGACTGATGGTATGACTGGATGGTCAGGGATTTGGAAAAAGCATGGTTAGAAAATTGGTGACAAGACCGTCTGGGCGAGAAGAATGTGCAGACTTCTCCAAATGGGCACCAAGTGAGAAGATGCTTGTCTTACATGAACGCTCACCAAAAAACAATCTCAGCAGAGAAGAATCTTAATAATCAGGTGAGCAAGGTGATTCATTCTTTGGAATCAGTCAGCCTTTCCCCCCAACCACTGCTATCCTTGCCCAATGTGCTCACGAACAAAGTGGTCACAGCAGCAGGAATGGAGGTTATAGCTGGGTGCAGTGGCTCACAGCTGTAAGCCCAGCACTTTGGGAGGCCGAGGCGGGTGGATCACTCGAAGTCAGGAGTTCAAAACCAGCTTGACCAGCATGGTGAAACGCTGTCTCTACTAAAAATACAAAAATTAGGCCGGGCGCGGTGGCTCAAGCCTGTAATCCCAGCACTTTGGGAGGCCGAGGCGGGTGGATCACGAGGTCAAGAGATCGAGACCATCCTGGTCAACATGGTGAAACCCTGTCTCTACTAAAAATACAAAAAATTAGCTGGGCATGGTGGTGCGTGCCTGTAATCCCAGCTACTCAGGAGGCTGAGGCAGGAGAATTGCCTGAACCCAGGAGGCGGAGGTTGCAGTGAGCCGAGATCGCGCCATTGCACTCCAGCCTGGGTAACAAGAGCGAAACTCCGTCTCAAAAAAAAAAATACAAAAATTAGCTGGGCATGGTGGCAGGTGCCTGTAATCCCAGCTGTTCAGGAGGCTGAAGCAGAAGAATCAAGAATCACCTGAACCCAGGAAGCAGAGGTTGCAGTGAGCCAAGATGGCACCACTGCACTCCGACCTCGGTGACAGAGGGAGACTCCATCTCAAAAAAAAAAAAGGAATGGAGGTTACTCATAGGCTCAGCAACATGAATTTCTACCTACAGATCTGGCTACTGCCACCACTGACAGTCCAACTTGCCAACACAGAGACTAACACTGAGCCCCTCATATGGCATAATTCCTTGGGGGAACTACCTAGCTTCCTTGAGACAGATCGATTATTTGGAACATTTCCATTACAGAAAGGGTAACACTTTTTTTCCCACTGGAATCAACATCTGATCCTTCCATGTACACAATGCTTTTACAAAGACCACCTTCTGTGTACTTTGAAAATGCTGTATTCGCTGCCATGGTATTCCACATAGCATTGCTCCTGATCAGAGAACTTGGTTCACAACAAGTGTAGCACACCAATGGGCCCATGCTTATGAAATTCACCAATCTTACCTTGTTACCAATCACCCTGAAGTAACTAGCCTGATTGAACAGTAAAATGACATTTTAGAGATTCAGTTGCAGTTAGAGTTCAGTGACAACACTTTTCATACTAGGATGACATGCTCTATGTTGTAGTAGATGCTCTGAATCAATATGGTGCTATTTCTCAAACAGCCAGCATTTCTAAATTTGGGAATCAAGCGGTAGACATGGAAGTGGCTTCCGCTCAATATTTTCTTTAGTGATCTACTAGTGAAAATTTTGCTTCCTGTCCTTTGTACCTTTGTGCTCTGCAAATATAATGGTCTTAGTTTCCATGGGAAGACTCCGTTTCCACCAAAGTGCACACCAATATTAAAATGGAAACTGATACTGCCACCTGGCCATCTGGTGCCTCTCATATCAATAAACCAACATGCAAAAAAAAGAAAGAAAAAAAAAAAAAAAAAAAGGCAACTACCAGTGGAAGTTAAAGAAGATGTCTAAAATTCAGGAGATCTTTTGGGGTGTTTTTTAGTAATATCATATTCTGTTAAGTAAAGTTAATGGAAAATTATAACAACCCCAAATAGGCATAATTGTTAAAGGTCTAGACCCTTTAGGAATGAAATTTTGGCACAATCCCTTCCTCCACCCCCCAGCAAGGAACCACAACCAGCTGAAGTGCTTGCTGAAAAATAGAGAGAATATGAAATAGCTACTGGAAGAAAAAAGTTAAAAATGTCAGCTACGATCTCATAATTAGTTGCAGAAACAGGTAGTATCTATGAATATTTCTCCTATTTATCTGCATATAAATATTAGCCATTTTTTCTTTTGTTTCTCTTGCTCCCATTCCCCTAAAAACAAATGCAAAGTGTGTTAATTACAGTATGGTAGGCCGCATAATGCCCCCCAACAAAAGACGTTCACACCTAATCCCTGTAACCTGTAAATATCTAATCCCTGTAACCTGTAAATACGGTGTTACATGGAGAGCATGAATTAAGAGTGCAGTTGGAACTAAGGTTGCTAATCAGCTGACTGTGACACAGGAAATTTTCCTGACTGGCTCAAGGTAATTGCAAGGGTCCATGTAAGAAATGTGGCACAGTGGCACAGTGATGTGATGTGAAAAAGACTTGACAGGTTATTGCTAGCTTTGAAAATAGAAGGGAGTTGCTTCAGGAAAGGATTTTAGGAGGAAAATAAAAAGAAAGAAAATAGAAGGGTGCTATGAGCCGAGGATGCGGGCAACTTCTGGAAGGAGGAAAAAGCAGGAAATTCTTCCCTAGAGCCTTCAGAAAGAAAGAACTGTACAAGCCCTGCTGACACCTTGATTTTAGCCCAATGAAGCCCATTTCAGACTTCAGACCTCCAGAACTGTAAAACAATACATTTTTGTGGTTTAAACCACTAACTTTGTATCAATTTTTACAGCAGCATTAGGAAATTAATACAAATGCTTAATCTTCTATCTGGTATTTAAAGTATATGATATCATAGGTAGACTATGGTTCAGCAAAAAAGAGGAATAAAAATGATCTAAAAAAGGATAAAGGTACTTTTGGGAAGGCTGTGAATATGTTTTGGCCTATATGAGGAATGTTAGATGGAAGCATGGTTTTAATTTTGATTTTATTTGGAAGTTAAATATGGTTAAGAGGGATGTATATGGATGCTAAGGTGGCAAGGGGTATACTCTGCTGGATTATTCTATTGTCCACTTGACCAAACATGGACAAATGTAAAGAAAATTACTTATAGAAGCATCATAATCAAACTGCTAAGAAACAAAGACAAAGAGGCAATTTAAAAGCAGCCAGAATATAAACACCACATTACTTTCAGAGTAGAAAGAGTAACACTATTTCTTTACTTTTTAATAGAAACTATGGAAGACAGGATAGAATGGAATGCCATCTTTAAGGTGCTGAGGGGGGAAAAAACCCCAGTAACATGCCTGTCTAGATTTCTATGAAATGTGATAATATTGTTTGACAAATAAAAAGGAAATAAAGATATTTTCAGACAA